TTTTAATCGGCGAAGAGGATTGTAGGGTAATGTGAGAGACAAAAACTTAGATACAAGAGGGTTTAAGTGGTTAAAGTTATCGTCTAAGCTCGTCGAGAGCAATAAGATATTTAATTATTTTGTTATAAATACAAAAAAATAATAATATAAGTAATCCCTATATGTTTATACGTCCAAACGTCTTAATTCATTTAACACGCGTCATAGGTTAATTATATTAGTAATACCTACTTCCACCACGAACAGGAACCGGCATACAGCGCCTGATAGTCATTTAGATGCTATTTGATTTCAGTTGAACGTCCAATACAAATTTAATGGGCATCTGTAGATAAAAATTCTGAGGCGGATAAATCGTTGGATGGGTATTGATAGTTTTGAATAAGTGATTACGTGATACTTTTCGAAAAACATCTACCTGAGTTGCTGGAAATTTACTTTCTATTGAAATATAATTTGTTATTTATTTAAAATATTTGCAGATCTATTTATTTAAATACCTTCTTATAGAAAATCGTATGACCTGTATGAAATTACACGTGGACAAATACCTTATATTATAATAAGTATAAGGTCCCTTATTTAGTTCGACGATAAAGCCTCTGTCAAAGTATGCAAACTAGTCCTGCACAAAAATCTATGAGTTGGATTACAACCAAAACTTAAAGATAACCATAATAACATTTTTAATTTTATTTATATTTTTAATTTTTAATAACTGTAATTAAAAAACGTAAAATCGTCTAAGCTGTACATATAAGTTTAGCTTAAACATGACGTTATTACAGTACGTTTTTAAAAATAACACTATTTAATTGCAATGCGATTACTTTATATTTTAATTAACCTGAGATATTTATGCCGTATCAAATCATTATTTTATAGCGATTTCATGGTAATTATAAGACTTTAAAATGTATAAATAAAGAAATAGCCATTGATTATATTATTTAACTACAATGATATGTTTATTAGGACATTAAATATTTAAAAATAGAATGTCATGTGTCATAAAACTGGTAGAATATTTAAGAATATTTGATAAAATATGTGCCTAAATAACTATGCAGTATTGTAATATTACATTTTTTTTTTATTACTATAATATTGTTTAACGTTAGAAACATTTTGCTTTGTCCGAACTCCAGTTAGAATCGGTGGTTTGCAATGCTATTATACTAAAGCATCCAGTGACATTTTCATTTGGACCGTAAACCTCTTGTATAATTTTCCAACATCCGAACGGCACTATTGGACGTAGCTGATTCGACACTTGACTTTTCGTTATTAAATGCACACACTGTCGTATAAAACCAGCATCACAATGGAATGGAATTTGTTAGTTAGTTGATTGCCATAATATTGCATAAAATCTATCATATTTTGCACTTACTTTTCGAAGAGGACATCCATGTGGGAATGACGGTATGAAAAGTCTTTTTAATCTTTCAACTGAAGTATGGTTAGAATGAAAAACAAATTTTAAAACGTCAGTGTGGTCCTTATTAAAAAGAGGTACACCTAACGCTGTACGACATCAAAACGTTAAGTTTTAAAAATTAATATTTTTTCTCTGTTACTCTACATAAATAAAATGAAAATCTCTTACACTATTTTTGTGATTCCTTTATATTTGTTTCAGTACGCTGATGCAAATCTTCTTGTAAGAATACTTTAAGAGGGGACATCACTGGTGTGACATCAAATGGTGCGACTATTGCAGTGTTAAATAAGGTTTATTATGACTGTTTGTATTCTATACTATGGGTACAACAAGTATAATTGAAAATAGATATAAAAGTGATAGAGACCTAAGGAGGAGGCTTACAGTAGAGCCATTTGTACATAACTATTTAAATTTAAATTAAATAACATTCAGTAGATCTCTGGACCCATTGCGGTTGAGACACCTGTTTGGTATGCCCGGAAATGTTTTTGTGTGAAGTTATGTAATATGTCCGTTGCATTTTGAATGAAGTCCCGATTAGAACATGGGTGCTATAAAAAGTTCCATATTGGTGATGTTCTATGGAGCTTTGATATCCAAGCATAGGCATATGAATTAAAAAGCCTTAAATACCTTAAATAAAAATAATTTAATTTAAATGCTTTTCTCAATCACATATTTGAAAGTCTATTACTTATGTACCATATACATTATAATTTTTTTATTCTAACACAACTACATTATTTTTTATTTATCCTCATACAGTACATCATTACATGTCTTTTTCTCCATTATCCTGTTTGGATGTAAGCACAGGGGCCATATATTCTTCTTAAAATTTTTCTCTCAAATAAAATTAATCAGCTTTCCTCTGATTATCTAAGAGGCCATGTCTCAAAGGCACATAAAATAATAGGATGTATCAATGTCATATAAATCTGTACTTAAAGATTTCTTTATATGGATATCCTGAGCATAGTATTTATCCAAGGACAAAATACCACTTAAAGGCCTTTTGTATCCTGTTAATCTTTTCCATTTTTAGGCCATTGACTTGTATTAAAAGATGACTAAACTATTTGAAATATGGCACCGCTTTGAATGTGTGTCCTTCGAAGTTCATAAAATGTCCCTGTTGATATTCCTTCTTTACGATGACGTTTGGCGCCTCCTTTTCCCCAACCCTTTTCCTCCTTTGCCGCGTCCGGTCATTGTTGCTGATTGTCGTTCGGAGAGCTGCGGTAGACTGAAGAAACAAATCGAATGATGCCGGACAACGTTTTCGCGCCGTATTTATATGATCGGGCCGTCGCGCGGACCAATCACGGCGCGGTATCGCGCGAACCCCCTCTGTTTCGGCAGGTCGTTCCGTCGACCAATGAGAACTCGCGCCTATGATCCGAATTTGTATATATATACGAGCTCATTCGGTGTGCGGAGACATATTCGACCGTTTCGAGTTTTCACAGACAGTTTACGAACTACCGACATGGCCCGTACCAAGCAAACCGCCCGCAAATCTACCGGAGGCAAGGCTCCCAGGAAGCAGTTGGCCACCAAAGCCGCCCGCAAGAGCGCACCGGCGACCGGAGGAGTGAAGAAACCCATCGTTACCGTCCCGGTACCGTGGCTCTCCGTGAAATCCGTCGTTACCAGAAGAGCACCGAGCTGTTGATCCGCAAATTGCCTTTCCAACGTTTGGTCCGTGAGATCGCCCAAGACTTCAAGACCGACTTGCGTTTCCAGAGCTCGGCCGTCATGGCTCTGCAAGAAGCCAGCGAAGCATACTTGGTCGGTCTGTTCGAAGACACCAACTTGTGCGCTATCCACGCCAAGCGCGTTACCATCATGCCCAAGGACATCCAGTTGGCTCGCCGTATTCGCGGAGAACGTGCTTAATCGTCTCAATACTCTACAAATCCTCTTTAAAACGGCCCTTTTCAGGGCCACTACATGCGTTACAATTATTTCTTTATTGACCTTACAGCGGGCGCCGCGCTGTTGGTAAAATGAATACAACAGTTTTGTACTTAATAGTTTTATTATTATCGACGGTCGTGGGTATCCCCCCGAGAATGTTGTTACTTACATTTTTAAATTAATGTTGAAAATTCCCAACGACCCGTTTTTATTGAAGTATTATTTATATTAAAAAAAAAAGCGGGTAAAAGAATAGGCGGTAGACACGGCGGTGGCGATGGACGACGAACGGGTCGGTGTAGCGTTAGGCACAGTGTGAAACGTATTTTTGGCGCGCGCGGGAAGTAGTCGGCGGCGACGGCGGCCGCGTTATAGTCGATATGAGTTTGTTAGGTTGTAGAACGCGGTGTGTAAAGGAATTATTATTTTCTATACTCTGCGCCATGAGAGAAGTAACCCGTTTCGCGCATCACGACTGTCCCGAGGCCCCATTTCCCCCACTTTGTGCCATTCGGTGTCGCGCTGAGGCGTGCATACAGCGCGAAACAGACGATATACAGAGTGATTGTGTATAGAGTATATTATTTATTATAATTTATAAATATTTATATTTATAAATTAACATAATTTATTATATTATTATTTTATTTATTATAATAATATAATATGTTATTATTATAACATATTTTTACAACCAGGTCAAGTGAGGTCAGAGGTTTTTGTGTACAGGCAAAGGAAAGCCGCGTCCCGACTTTTGGTGTACAGGCAAAGAAATGACGCATCCCAAACCTTCGTGTATAACCTAATTATATAAATTAAAACTAAAGAATATTTAAATTAAATATGAATTTAATATTTATTATAAAATATATAATATATTATTTATTATTATATTATTATTATAATAATAATATAATAATGTAATAATTCAACAGTAAACGCAAGCGCGTGGTTCAAAGACGTAAGACGTGAGTCTTATGACTTGTGACACACTGTATCGAGTTTACGTTATAATACACCCTATATATGCAGCGCCGCCGCCGACCGTGGGTGTGGCCTATCGGTGGCGATGCGCGGAATCGGACGCGTTTCGGTCGAGCAACGGGTTACTTCTCTCATGGCGCAGAGTATATCCGGTTTGTCCGACGGGAGGGATGGACGCGTTACTAAAAAAAAAAAATAAAAAACCCCGTAGATTGTGGCGCGTCGTTTAAAACTATATTATCTGAAAGTAGGTAGATACGGGCTCCGCACGTTTCCGCGGCACTGAATTTAAAACACACGGACAGTGATTTTAGGAAAATATGAAAAAACCCGTTTAATAAAATGTCCAAAACAAACGGTCTTTACCTACAAATTGCAATTTTTTTTACATACATATATAGCTAATTTAAGTGTTATCTATAGCTAATATTGTTTTCCCGTTTTTTTTCTAATTTGTGTAGTAATTTTATAAATTTTTAGTAATATAATGTGAATAAATTCGATGAATGTACAAATAAAACACACGTGTACAGACCAACGACAAACATAATAAATGATACAAAAGACGATAACGCACACGGCGTCAAAACAAAAGGCGGTCGTCGGTCGGTGATATTGTCTATACAAATTAAAAACCCCAGATATTAATAACTTAAATAGGGTACAACACTACGAATAATAATAATATTATAACGGGAGACGAGACCGTGTATCAAAATAATTTGGTGGCCCTGAAAAGGGCCGTTTTAAGTGGATATAGCGCGCGACTAATATCGAAACGCTTATTTGGAACTGGTGTACTTGGTCACGGCCTTGGTGCCTTCACTGACGGCGTGCTTGGCCAATTCACCGGGCAACAGCAGACGGACGGCGGTCTGGATCTCCCGGCTGGTGATGGTCGAACGCTTGTTGTAGTGGGCCAGACGGCTGGATTCGGCGGCGATGCGTTCGAAAATGTCGTTGACGAAGCTGTTCATGATGCTCATCGCCTTGGAGGAAACGCCGGTGTCGGGGTGGACTTGTTTCAACACCTTGTAGATGTAAATACCGTACGATTCTTTCCTCTTCGGCTTGCGCTTCTTGTCGGACTTGGTGATGTTTTTCTGCGCCTTGCCGGACTTCTTCATGGCCTTGCCTGCGGATTTACCTCCTGGTGCCATAGTGACTGCGGTTGTACACGGTTTGCGGGTCGTCGAAATAGTTGGCCGGTAGCTGGTGGACGAATGATGGTTCGAAAATCGTTTACGCTCATATTTATTACGCGTCGCGACTTGGTTTATCGAGTACGGTTTGTAAGAGTCGACGAAAAAACGACGAGTAAAAATAACACTTTGTGTTTAAAGGCGAACCCTACAATTTGCCGTTTTTTCATCGTCAACGTCCATGCATCGAAGAAAAACACGACGAGTATAAACAACACTTTGCATTGAACGTTTATATCTACAAAGTGTGGTTTTTCATCGTCGTTATTTTCAAACGTAGGCCAACATACAGACGCTTTTACGTCGTAAAAGTGTATAAATACCGATTTTGGCCCGTTTCGATCATCAGTATCGTCTGGATTTTCTCTCGTTTCACTACACGACAATCTACAATCGAGCATCATGACCGGACGCGGCAAAGGAGGAAAAGCAAAGAGCGGCAAATCGAAGACCCGGTCGTCCCGTGCCGGACTCCAGTTCCCGGTCGGTCGTATCCATCGTCTGTTGAGGAAGGGCAACTACGCCGAGCGCGTCGGTGCCGGCGCTCCCGTGTACCTGGCCGCCGTCATGGAGTACTTGGCCGCTGAAGTGTTGGAGTTGGCCGGTAACGCCGCCCGTGACAACAAGAAGACCCGTATCATCCCCAGACATTTGCAGTTGGCCATCAGGAACGACGAGGAGTTGAACAAACTGTTGTCCGGCGTCACCATCGCCCAAGGCGGTGTGTTGCCCAACATCCAAGCCGTCCTTTTGCCCAAGAAGACCGAAAAGAAAGCTTAAGAACGCGTCGTCGCCGTATTTATACATATTAAAACGGCCCTTTTCAGGGCCACCAAATATTAACTAGTTATACAACACTCTTGTTGTTTTCGGCATAGATGACGTGCGGCGTTGTGCTAAATATCGTTGTATTATTTTGTCAAGCCTTAGAAAATATAAGTATATTTAAAAAAAAATAATTGTAACATAGAATTTCAACAAATCTACCTTAGTCCTTTTTTTATTTTTTCAAGGTCAAAAGCAATTTATAAAATGTGTCTGTTAACTTAAATTGGAAATAATACTCAAGTATAGTAATATACATAAATACTTTTTTTTTTTTTTTTTTTGTCTTTTCATTAATATTGTCATCAATGTTAATAGATTTAGATCAAAGACTTACAATATTATGTACCCATTTGCGATTACAAATATACAATTAGTATGTTACATTTTTTATACTATATTATACATTTAGTTTGTTTTGTGACGATTAGCATGTATATTACGGAGTACATATCATTCTGTATGTACTATAAAATATTAATTTGAACAATTACATAGTATACCGTTAAAACTACTCGTGTATGTTATTTATTATAAAGGCAATACACTATAACGTTATGTTAGTTTATACGGTATATATACTTAGAACACTCATTAAATATACTCGACTGCATTAAATGACATATGAACGTTAACCGATAATAATGTAAATAATATAAAATGGTGGCCCTGAAAAGGGCCGTTTTAAAGAACAGTAGGTAGGGTGCAAAGCGAACGGTCGTCGGGAATTAACCTCCGAATCCGTACAGAGTGCGGCCTTGGCGTTTCAGAGCGTAGACCACGTCCATGGCGGTGACGGTCTTCCTCTTGGCGTGCTCGGTGTAGGTGACGGCGTCGCGGATTACGTTTTCCAGGAACACCTTCAACACTCCGCGGGTCTCTTCGTAGATCAGGCCGGAGATACGTTTGACACCACCGCGGCGGGCTAACCGACGAATGGCCGGCTTGGTGATTCCTTGGATGTTGTCCCGGAGCACTTTACGATGACGTTTGGCGCCTCCTTTTCCCAAACCTTTTCCTCCTTTGCCGCGTCCGGTCATTGTTGCTGATTGTCGTTCGGAGAGCTGCGGTAGACTGAAGAAACAAATCGAATGATGCCCGGACAACGTTTTCGCGCCGTATTTATATGATCGGGCCGTCGCGCGGACCAATCACGGCGCGGTATCGCGCGAACCCCCTCTGTTTCGGCAGGTCGTTCCGTCGACCAATGAGAACTCGCGCCTATGATCCGAATTTGTATATATATACGAGCTCATTCGGTGTGCGGAGACATATTCGACCGTTTCGAGTTTTCACAGACAGTTTACGAACTACCGACATGGCCCGTACCAAGCAAACCGCCCGCAAATCTACCGGAGGCAAGGCTCCCAGGAAGCAGTTGGCCACCAAAGCCGCCCGCAAGAGCGCACCGGCGACCGGAGGAGTGAAGAAACCCCATCGTTACCGTCCCGGTACCGTGGCTCTCCGTGAAATCCGTCGTTACCAGAAGAGCACCGAGCTGTTGATCCGCAAATTGCCTTTCCAACGTTTGGTCCGTGAGATCGCCCAAGACTTCAAGACCGACTTGCGTTTCCAGAGCTCGGCCGTCATGGCTCTGCAAGAAGCCAGCGAAGCATACTTGGTCGGTCTGTTCGAAGACACCAACTTGTGCGCTATCCACGCCAAGCGCGTTACCATCATGCCCAAGGACATCCAGTTGGCTCGCCGTATTCGCGGAGAACGTGCTTAATCGTCTCAATACTCTACAAATCCTCTTTAAAACGGCCCTTTTCAGGGCCACTACATGCGTTACAATTATTTCTTTATTGACCTTACAGCGGGCGCCGCGCTGTTGGTAAAATGAATACAACAGTTTTGTACTTAATAGTTTTATTATTATCGACGGTCGTGGGTATCCCCCCGAGAATGTTGTTACTTACATTTTTAAATTAATGTTGAAAATTCCCAACGACCCGTTTTTATTGAAGTATTATTTATATTAAAAAAAAAAGCGGGTAAAAGAATAGGCGGTAGACACGGCGGTGGCGATGGACGACGAACGGGTCGGTGTAGCGTTAGGCACAGTGTGAAACGTATTTTTGGCGCGCGCGGGAAGTAGTCGGCGGCGACGGCGGCCGCGTTATAGTCGATATGAGTTTGTTAGGTTGTAGAACGCGGTGTGTAAAGGAATTATTATTTTCTATACTCTGCGCCATGAGAGAAGTAACCCGTTTCGCGCATCACGACTGTCCCGAGGCCCCATTTCCCCCACTTTGTGCCATTCGGTGTCGCGCTGAGGCGTGCATACAGCGCGAAACAGACGATATACAGAGTGATTGTGTATAGAGTATATTATTTATTATAATTTATAAATATTTATATTTATAAATTAACATAATTTATTATATTATTATTTTATTTATTATAATAATATAATATGTTATTATTATAACATATTTTTACAACCAGGTCAAGTGAGGTCAGAGGTTTTTGTGTACAGGCAAAGGAAAGCCGCGTCCCGACTTTTGGTGTACAGGCAAAGAAATGACGCATCCCAAACCTTCGTGTATAACCTAATTATATAAATTAAAACTAAAGAATATTTAAATTAAATATGAATTTAATATTTATTATAAAATATATAATATATTATTTATTATTATATTATTATTATAATAATAATATAATAATGTAATAATTCAACAGTAAACGCAAGCGCGTGGTTCAAAGACGTAAGACGTGAGTCTTATGACTTGTGACACACTGTATCGAGTTTACGTTATAATACACCCTATATATGCAGCGCCGCCGCCGACCGTGGGTGTGGCCTATCGGTGGCGATGCGCGGAATCGGACGCGTTTCGGTCGAGCAACGGGTTACTTCTCTCATGGCGCAGAGTATATCCGGTTTGTCCGACGGGAGGGATGGACGCGTTACTAAAAAAAAAAAATAAAAAACCCCGTAGATTGTGGCGCGTCGTTTAAAACTATATTATCTGAAAGTAGGTAGATACGGGCTCCGCACGTTTCCGCGGCACTGAATTTAAAACACACGGACAGTGATTTTAGGAAAATATGAAAAAACCCGTTTAATAAAATGTCCAAAACAAACGGTCTTTACCTACAAATTGCAATTTTTTTTACATACATATATAGCTAATTTAAGTGTTATCTATAGCTAATATTGTTTTCCCGTTTTTTTTCTAATTTGTGTAGTAATTTTATAAATTTTTAGTAATATAATGTGAATAAATTCGATGAATGTACAAATAAAACACACGTGTACAGACCAACGACAAACATAATAAATGATACAAAAGACGATAACGCACACGGCGTCAAAACAAAAGGCGGTCGTCGGTCGGTGATATTGTCTATACAAATTAAAAACCCCAGATATTAATAACTTAAATAGGGTACAACACTACGAATAATAATAATATTATAACGGGAGACGAGACCGTGTATCAAAATAATTTGGTGGCCCTGAAAAGGGCCGTTTTAAGTGGATATAGCGCGCGACTAATATCGAAACGCTTATTTGGAACTGGTGTACTTGGTCACGGCCTTGGTGCCTTCACTGACGGCGTGCTTGGCCAATTCACCGGGCAACAGCAGACGGACGGCGGTCTGGATCTCCCGGCTGGTGATGGTCGAACGCTTGTTGTAGTGGGCCAGACGGCTGGATTCGGCGGCGATGCGTTCGAAAATGTCGTTGACGAAGCTGTTCATGATGCTCATCGCCTTGGAGGAAACGCCGGTGTCGGGGTGGACTTGTTTCAACACCTTGTAGATGTAAATACCGTACGATTCTTTCCTCTTCGGCTTGCGCTTCTTGTCGGACTTGGTGATGTTTTTCTGCGCCTTGCCGGACTTCTTCATGGCCTTGCCTGCGGATTTACCTCCTGGTGCCATAGTGACTGCGGTTGTACACGGTTTGCGGGTCGTCGAAATAGTTGGCCGGTAGCTGGTGGACGAATGATGGTTCGAAAATCGTTTACGCTCATATTTATTACGCGTCGCGACTTGGTTTATCGAGTACGGTTTGTAAGAGTCGACGAAAAAACGACGAGTAAAAATAACACTTTGTGTTTAAAGGCGAACCCTACAATTTGCCGTTTTTTCATCGTCAACGTCCATGCATCGAAGAAAAACACGACGAGTATAAACAACACTTTGCATTGAACGTTTATATCTACAAAGTGTGGTTTTTCATCGTCGTTATTTTCAAACGTAGGCCAACATACAGACGCTTTTACGTCGTAAAAGTGTATAAATACCGATTTTGGCCCGTTTCGATCATCAGTATCGTCTGGATTTTCTCTCGTTTCACTACACGACAATCTACAATCGAGCATCATGACCGGACGCGGCAAAGGAGGAAAAGCAAAGAGCGGCAAATCGAAGACCCGGTCGTCCCGTGCCGGACTCCAGTTCCCGGTCGGTCGTATCCATCGTCTGTTGAGGAAGGGCAACTACGCCGAGCGCGTCGGTGCCGGCGCTCCCGTGTACCTGGCCGCCGTCATGGAGTACTTGGCCGCTGAAGTGTTGGAGTTGGCCGGTAACGCCGCCCGTGACAACAAGAAGACCCGTATCATCCCCAGACATTTGCAGTTGGCCATCAGGAACGACGAGGAGTTGAACAAACTGTTGTCCGGCGTCACCATCGCCCAAGGCGGTGTGTTGCCCAACATCCAAGCCGTCCTTTTGCCCAAGAAGACCGAAAAGAAAGCTTAAGAACGCGTCGTCGCCGTATTTATACATATTAAAACGGCCCTTTTCAGGGCCACCAAATATTAACTAGTTATACAACACTCTTGTTGTTTTCGGCATAGATGACGTGCGGCGTTGTGCTAAATATCGTTGTATTATTTTGTCAAGCCTTAGAAAATATAAGTATATTTAAAAAAAAATAATTGTAACATAGAATTTCAACAAATCTACCTTAGTCCTTTTTTTATTTTTTCAAGGTCAAAAGCAATTTATAAAATGTGTCTGTTAACTTAAATTGGAAATAATACTCAAGTATAGTAATATACATAAATACTTTTTTTTTTTTTTTTTTTTGTCTTTTCATTAATATTGTCATCAATGTTAATAGATTTAGATCAAAGACTTACAATATTATGTACCCATTTGCGATTACAAATATACAATTAGTATGTTACATTTTTTATACTATATTATACATTTAGTTTGTTTTGTGACGATTAGCATGTATATTACGGAGTACATATCATTCTGTATGTACTATAAAATATTAATTTGAACAATTACATAGTATACCGTTAAAACTACTCGTGTATGTTATTTATTATAAAGGCAATACACTATAACGTTATGTTAGTTTATACGGTATATATACTTAGAACACTCATTAAATATACTCGACTGCATTAAATGACATATGAACGTTAACCGATAATAATGTAAATAATATAAAATGGTGGCCCTGAAAAGGGCCGTTTTAAAGAACAGTAGGTAGGGTGCAAAGCGAACGGTCGTCGGGAATTAACCTCCGAATCCGTACAGAGTGCGGCCTTGGCGTTTCAGAGCGTAGACCACGTCCATGGCGGTGACGGTCTTCCTCTTGGCGTGCTCGGTGTAGGTGACGGCGTCGCGGATTACGTTTTCCAGGAACACCTTCAACACTCCGCGGGTCTCTTCGTAGATCAGGCCGGAGATACGTTTGACACCACCGCGGCGGGCTAACCGACGAATGGCCGGCTTGGTGATTCCTTGGATGTTGTCCCGGAGCACTTTACGATGACGTTTGGCGCCTCCTTTTCCCAAACCTTTTCCTCCTTTGCCGCGTCCGGTCATTGTTGCTGATTGTCGTTCGGAGAGCTGCGGTAGACTGAAGAAACAAATCGAATGATGCCCGGACAACGTTTTCGCGCCGTATTTATATGATCGGGCCGTCGCGCGGACCAATCACGGCGCGGTATCGCGCGAACCCCCTCTGTTTCGGCAGGTCGTTCCGTCGACCAATGAGAACTCGCGCCTATGATCCGAATTTGTATATATATACGAGCTCATTCGGTGTGCGGAGACATATTCGACCGTTTCGAGTTTTCACAGACAGTTTACGAACTACCGACATGGCCCGTACCAAGCAAACCGCCCGCAAATCTACCGGAGGCAAGGCTCCCAGGAAGCAGTTGGCCACCAAAGCCGCCCGCAAGAGCGCACCGGCGACCGGAGGAGTGAAGAAACCCCATCGTTACCGTCCCGGTACCGTGGCTCTCCGTGAAATCCGTCGTTACCAGAAGAGCACCGAGCTGTTGATCCGCAAATTGCCTTTCCAACGTTTGGTCCGTGAGATCGCCCAAGACTTCAAGACCGACTTGCGTTTCCAGAGCTCGGCCGTCATGGCTCTGCAAGAAGCCAGCGAAGCATACTTGGTCGGTCTGTTCGAAGACACCAACTTGTGCGCTATCCACGCCAAGCGCGTTACCATCATGCCCAAGGACATCCAGTTGGCTCGCCGTATTCGCGGAGAACGTGCTTAATCGTCTCAATACTCTACAAATCCTCTTTAAAACGGCCCTTTTCAGGGCCACTACATGCGTTACAATTATTTCTTTATTGACCTTACAGCGGGCGCCGCGCTGTTGGTAAAATGAATACAACAGTTTTGTACTTAATAGTTTTATTATTATCGACGGTCGTGGGTATCCCCCCGAGAATGTTGTTACTTACATTTTTAAATTAATGTTGAAAATTCCCAACGACCCGTTTTTATTGAAGTATTATTTATATTAAAAAAAAAAGCGGGTAAAAGAATAGGCGGTAGACACGGCGGTGGCGATGGACGACGAACGGGTCGGTGTAGCGTTAGGCACAGTGTGAAACGTATTTTTGGCGCGCGCGGGAAGTAGTCGGCGGCGACGGCGGCCGCGTTATAGTCGATATGAGTTTGTTAGGTTGTAGAACGCGGTGTGTAAAGGAATTATTATTTTCTATACTCTGCGCCATGAGAGAAGTAACCCGTTTCGCGCATCACGACTGTCCCGAGGCCCCATTTCCCCCACTTTGTGCCATTCGGTGTCGCGCTGAGGCGTGCATACAGCGCGAAACAGACGATATACAGAGTGATTGTGTATAGAGTATATTATTTATTATAATTTATAAATATTTATATTTATAAATTAACATAATTTATTATATTATTATTTTATTTATTATAATAATATAATATGTTATTATTATAACATATTTTTACAACCAGGTCAAGTGAGGTCAGAGGTTTTTGTGTACAGGCAAAGGAAAGCCGCGTCCCGACTTTTGGTGTACAGGCAAAGAAATGACGCATCCCAAACCTTCGTGTATAACCTAATTATATAAATTAAAACTAAAGAATATTTAAATTAAATATGAATTTAATATTTATTATAAAATATATAATATATTATTTATTATTATATTATTATTATAATAATAATATAATAATGTAATAATTCAACAGTAAACGCAAGCGCGTGGTTCAAAGACGTAAGACGTGAGTCTTATGACTTGTGACACACTGTATCGAGTTTACGTTATAATACACCCTATATATGCAGCGCCGCCGCCGACCGTGGGTGTGGCCTATCGGTGGCGATGCGCGGAATCGGACGCGTTTCGGTCGAGCAACGGGTTACTTCTCTCATGGCGCAGAGTATATCCGGTTTGTCCGACGGGAGGGATGGACGCGTTACTAAAAAAAAAAAATAAAAAACCCCGTAGATTGTGGCGCGTCGTTTAAAACTATATTATCTGAAAGTAGGTAGATACGGGCTCCGCACGTTTCCGCGGCACTGAATTTAAAACACACGGACAGTGATTTTAGGAAAATATGAAAAAACCCGTTTAATAAAATGTCCAAAACAAACGGTCTTTACCTACAAATTGCAATTTTTTTTACATACATATATAGCTAATTTAAGTGTTATCTATAGCTAATATTGTTTTCCCGTTTTTTTTCTAATTTGTGTAGTAATTTTATAAATTTTTAGTAATATAATGTGAATAAATTCGATGAATGTACAAATAAAACACACGTGTACAGACCAACGACAAACATAATAAATGATACAAAAGACGATAACGCACACGGCGTCAAAACAAAAGGCGGTCGTCGGTCGGTGATATTGTCTATACAAATTAAAAACCCCAGATATTAATAACTTAAATAGGGTACAACACTACGAATAATAATAATATTATAACGGGAGACGAGACCGTGTATCAAAATAATTTGGTGGCCCTGAAAAGGGCCGTTTTAAGTGGATATAGCGCGCGACTAATATCGAAACGCTTATTTGGAACTGGTGTACTTGGTCACGGCCTTGGTGCCTTCACTGACGGCGTGCTTGGCCAATTCACCGGGCAACAGCAGACGGACGGCGGTCTGGATCTCCCGGCTGGTGATGGTCGAACGCTTGTTGTAGTGGGCCAGACGGCTGGATTCGGCGGCGATGCGTTCGAAAATGTCGTTGACGAAGCTGTTCATGATGCTCATCGCCTTGGAGGAAACGCCGGTGTCGGGGTGGACTTGTTTCAACACCTTGTAGATGTAAATACCGTACGATTCTTTCCTCTTCGGCTTGCGCTTCTTGTCGGACTTGGTGATGTTTTTCTGCGCCTTGCCGGACTTCTTCATGGCCTTGCCTGCGGATTTACCTCCTGGTGCCATAGTGACTGCGGTTGTACACGGTTTGCGGGTCGTCGAAATAGTTGGCCGGTAGCTGGTGGACGAATGATGGTTCGAAAATCGTTTACGCTCATATTTATTACGCGTCGCGACTTGGTTTATCGAGTACGGTTTGTAAGAGTCGACGAAAAAACGACGAGTAAAAATAACACTTTGTGTTTAAAGGCGAACCCTACAATTTGCCGTTTTTTCATCGTCAACGTCCATGCATCGAAGAAAAACACGACGAGTATAAACAACACTTTGCATTGAACGTTTATATCTACAAAGTGTGGTTTTTCATCGTCGTTATTTTCAAACGTAGGCCAACATACAGACGCTTTTACGTCGTAAAAGTGTATAAATACCGATTTTGGCCCGTTTCGATCATCAGTATCGTCTGGATTTTCTCTCGTTTCACTACACGACAATCTACAATCGAGCATCATGACCGGACGCGGCAAAGGAGGAAAAGCAAAGAGCGGCAAATCGAAGACCCGGTCGTCCCGTGCCGGACTCCAGTTCCCGGTCGGTCGTATCCATCGTCTGTTGAGGAAGGGCAACTACGCCGAGCGCGTCGGTGCCGGCGCTCCCGTGTACCTGGCCGCCGTCATGGAGTACTTGGCCGCTGAAGTGTTGGAGTTGGCCGGTAACGCCGCCCGTGACAACAAGAAGACCCGTATCATCCCCAGACATTTGCAGTTGGCCATCAGGAACGACGAGGAGTTGAACAAACTGTTGTCCGGCGTCACCATCGCCCAAGGCGGTGTGTTGCCCAACATCCAAGCCGTCCTTTTGCCCAAGAAGACCGAAAAGAAAGCTTAAGAACGCGTCGTCGCCGTATTTATACATATTAAAACGGCCCTTTTCAGGGCCACCAAATATTAACTAGTTATACAACACTCTTGTTGTTTTCGGCATAGATGACGTGCGGCGTTGTGCTAAATATCGTTGTATTATTTTGTCAAGCCTTAGAAAATATAAGTATATTTAAAAAAAAATAATTGTAACATAGAATTTCAACAAATCTACCTTAGTCCTTTTTTTATTTTTTCAAGGTCAAAAGCAATTTATAAAATGTGTCTGTTAACTTAAATTGGAAATAATACTCAAGTATAGTAATATACATAAATACTTTTTTTTTTTTTTTTTTTTGTCTTTTCATTAATATTGTCATCAATGTTAATAGATTTAGATCAAAGACTTACAATATTATGTACCCATTTGCGATTACAAATATACAATTAGTATGTTACATTTTTTATACTATATTATACATTTAGTTTGTTTTGTGACGATTAGCATGTATATTACGGAGTACATATCATTCTGTATGTACTATAAAATATTAATTTGAACAATTACATAGTATACCGTTAAAACTACTCGTGTATGTTATTTATTATAAAGGCAATACACTATAACGTTATGTTAGTTTATACGGTATATATACTTAGAACACTCATTAAATATACTCGACTGCATTAAATGACATATGAACGTTAACCGATAATAATGTAAATAATATAAAATGGTGGCCCTGAAAAGGGCCGTTTTAAAGAACAGTAGGTAGGGTGCAAAGCGAACGGTCGTCGGGAATTAACCTCCGAATCCGTACAGAGTGCGGCCTTGGCGTTTCAGAGCGTAGACCACGTCCATGGCGGTGACGGTCTTCCTCTTGGCGTGCTCGGTGTAGGTGACGGCGTCGCGGATTACGTTTTCCAGGAACACCTTCAACACTCCGCGGGTCTCTTCGTAGATCAGGCCGGAGATACGTTTGACACCACCGCGGCGGGCTAACCGACGAATGGCCGGCTTGGTGATTCCTTGGATGTTGTCCCGGAGCACTTTACGATGACGTTTGGCGCCTCCTTTTCCCAAACCTTTTCCTCCTTTGCCGCGTCCGGTCATTGTTGCTGATTGTCGTTCGGAGAGCTGCGGTAGACTGAAGAAACAAATCGAATGATGCCCGGACAACGTTTTCGCGCCGTATTTATATGATCGGGCCGTCGCGCGGACCAATCACGGCGCGGTATCGCGCGAACCCCCTCTGTTTCGGCAGGTCGTTCCGTCGACCAATGAGAACTCGCGCCTATGATCCGAATTTGTATATATATACGAGCTCATTCGGTGTGCGGAGACATATTCGACCGTTTCGAGTTTTCACAGACAGTTTACGAACTACCGACATGGCCCGTACCAAGCAAACCGCCCGCAAATCTACCGGAGGCAAGGCTCCCAGGAAGCAGTTGGCCACCAAAGCCGCCCGCAAGAGCGCACCGGCGACCGGAGGAGTGAAGAAACCCCATCGTTACCGTCCCGGTACCGTGGCTCTCCGTGAAATCCGTCGTTACCAGAAGAGCACCGAGCTGTTGATCCGCAAATTGCCTTTCCAACGTTTGGTCCGTGAGATCGCCCAAGACTTCAAGACCGACTTGCGTTTCCAGAGCTCGGCCGTCATGGCTCTGCAAGAAGCCAGCGAAGCATACTTGGTCGGTCTGTTCGAAGACACCAACTTGTGCGCTATCCACGCCAAGCGCGTTACCATCATGCCCAAGGACATCCAGTTGGCTCGCCGTATTCGCGGAGAACGTGCTTAATCGTCTCAATACTCTACAAATCCTCTTTAAAACGGCCCTTTTCAGGGCCACTACATGCGTTACAATTATTTCTTTATTGACCTTACAGCGGGCGCCGCGCTGTTGGTAAAATGAATACAACAGTTTTGTACTTAATAGTTTTATTATTATCGACGGTCGTGGGTATCCCCCCGAGAATGTTGTTACTTACATTTTTAAATTAATGTTGAAAATTCCCAACGACCCGTTTTTATTGAAGTATTATTTATATTAAAAAAAAAAGCGGGTAA